CGGATGGCAACCAGCTTGGCAGCCCAGTGACGGGCACAGATTCGATGCTGAAATTCAGTTTTTCGACAGTGGGACTTACAATGCTCTATCCAACAAATGCTAAGTTATTGTAAAGTTTACATAAATTAGAAAACAAATTCGAAACACCCTTCACTTTTGTAAGGTGCAGAATGATGCGATAACACCATTGTTTATTTTGAAGACACGAGTGATTGCATTAATCCGCTGGAAAACTCACAGCAGTTTTTTTCATCCGCACCATCCGAACAATCTGCTTTTCCATCACACAATTTTGTTTCATCGATGCAGTGACCAGATCCGGGACAGTTCCACTGCTGTGGCGGGCATAGATACTGCCCGCATCCTTCTTCATCCGAATTGTCACCTGCAAACAGCAAGTCCCTACTATGTATGCTCATAGCAATAGTGAAAGTGCATTTAATAATCAGTGTTATTACTATGATAATGATAAAAGTGATCAACGTAACAATGAAATTTCGAAATGCTAATAATCCCTCCAGGAATGAAATGAACGTCACAATCATCAGCAAATTGCCGCAGGCAATGCAGTACTCTGCGTTTATTGATTAATAAGCCCAGGCTGCAACAGGCCTGTCGGTGCGATCATGTGTTTTTGCTCTAAATGTGCAGCAGGTCAGACTGCTAACAGCAATTATGGTCCCTACTTGGACACGTGACAATTGTTTTGGCTTTCTTCCGCACATAAGGAAAAAGAGTGTCGACTGGGATGACGGTGTTGCATCACGGGGCCACATCGATCTCCAGCGTGCATGATTATCAATTTTGCATGAAGCGCGATTTTTTTTTGGTGACAGACCGTTCATCAAACCCTAGGCACCAAGTTTGCCGGTGCGACCATGTGTTTTTGCACTAAACTTGAAGCAAAAGTGTGGATGGCAGCTTCTTTACTCTTACCTTGTATCAAATCTTCGTAAATTTTGCATTAAAAAAGTGGGCGGTTTCAGTTTAACGGTCGTTCCTTGAAACTTACCTACTGTTCAATGGCATTTTTCCGCGAAGTGCCGATACGTGAGAACACCCGGGAGCTAAATTTGAAATGCTTCAGTTGTACTGGGTAGGGAACATGCATTTAAAATGTCAGCTTTCCAGCTTTTCTGGTTCCCGAGCTAGCAGTTTCTCCGCCAAAAATCTACGTGCCTGTACGAGAGTACCACGTGTACCTAGAGGCTGAATTTAAAACCTTTACGTCACATTTGTGCGGGGAACATCTCATTAAGATTTCAATCATTCGGCTTCTCAGGTTTACGAGTTAGCAATTTTCCCACCATCAACTGTGCGTGGAGATTGCTACTGTGGTTCTGCGGTAGCACCTGGCTGGGAACTTACTGGCAAAATTC